TTTCGGGTCACGAGTGACTTTTTTTGCAAGTCTTCTTCTCAACATTCCCATTGAACTGTTCGAGTTGTAAAAGTTGAAAAAAGGAAGAGGAAAGGTGCAACAAACGCATCAATGACGTGATTACACAATTTCTCAAGGAAACAGTAAAAATGCTTTTCAGCATACAGAAGTATACTCGAAATTTAAAATTGTAATTGATTGTATTATACTGTCGCAGCGTGTTTCACAAAGTTATCAGGAAAGTAGGCGTGGCTACTTGAGCTGATCAACATAACAATGACAGTGGGAAGAAGATACTTCCTGTAGTTGCCATGGGCATGTTGCCTACTGGACACGTAAATCTTTAATACCTTTAATACCTTTACTTATAATCAGCATCCCGTAGATTTCGAAAATTGTCTACCTGTTCCATGGAGAATCTGTTATTGAACGATGATTTCTAAAAACGAATTATGTACTGCTGATCTCCTAGTTATACTCGTATAATAACTGAAGTACTAGTACTTGCAATACTTATATAATCTGAAAATTTTAAACCTTCATCTCTTCTGGGGAACTACCAGTTGTGAGATGTATGGACCAGAGGTATTTTCGTATGTTTTTAATGCCACTAACGATGATAATTTAGTAAATATGTATTTATATTTACATCAATATCAAAGAATTTGAAAGTGAAAGTGGGAGAAATATAATTATAAAAGTTTAAACTGAAATCTATGAATGATTCAGATTATTATTTGTTCTTAATATTCCTTTCCCTTAAGCTTATCAGCATCTGTTAAAGTTTCTACCACAATTCTGTACGTGTGATCGTTTATCACTTTGTTATGACAGAGCCTGATGTGTTGCACAGTGTGAATGGAATAGTTTCACACAACGTAGAGTTAAAATAAGCTGAGGCTGTGTCAGCCAATGGCTTGCAAAGTGGAAACGAATTACTGCTACTCCGTTGAAGTTGTGTAGTCTTTTGGTTTGCAAATAATAAGTCTCGATCATTTTCTGGTTTTGCTTTACTCCAAATAACTCTATGGAAATTAGGTGAGGTGGTCATACTTATGTATATTTGTTTACCGAATGCATCTTAGTTTACTAATTTCGACCAATAAAGCCCGCTAAAATGGATGGTAATACGATCATATTAGATTTCTGAACTGAAAGACCTAGACTAGTTGTCAAAAAGCCGTTAGCGGCATTGCACTCCTAACTTCTTAAAACAATAAATGATTTGAATTGTTTTGAGTTTCATTCGATTTGAKATTCGAACATGAGTAAGCATAAAAAGGATCTCATTGTAAATCACTAGCATGTTGAAKTTCGTTAAAAATACATTAAATTTCTTTGGGAATAAAGCCGAAACAAAAGGAAAATCAACATTTTGTGGCAACACATGTTCGGCCATGTTCACGCCGTGAGCAATGCAATTATTCTGTAAGCAATTCCATAATACGAATATTAACTTTTTAAGAAAGCAAAGAGAGAAAAACGCGGAGTGAAAAAATAATAAGCAACGGATATTTTTCATATAAAGTTGTTGAGTTTGAGAGCTTGAACTGCTGTTACCATCGTTGGAAGACCCTTTTAAGAGCCTTTCGCCAGCAATTAATGAATAATTTGTAGACAATTCATATTTAAATATGGGAGAAATAAAGCCCCATCAAGAACATAATAAAGAAATACTTGATTACATACAAATTTAAATGTTCTTTGCAGCTACTATTGTTCTCCAATGTCCTAGTATACTATGCGCATTCGTAACTGTAACAAGTATTTGTTGCAAATGAAATATTAAAGGTAAGTTATTTTGGTCACTAAAGTTCCTTATTACACCCAGTGGTAAACCGGTTTCCTATACCATGTAACGGCAATTGTTCGACTTGTTGATATCGCGCACATTTATTATTTTGGCAATGTGGCGCTCCCTACTTTGTTCAACTTATTTCTCTTATGTACTTCATTTTGTTAGTTACTTTGGAGCGTCATTGCAACTGCAATTACTATTTACAATTGTGTGATAGATAAGGAGCTTTCCCTCCCCGATGGTGAAGATTTTTAGCAACTTATCTGAAAACATTTACAATTTATTACTGTGGCTGAACAAATGATCATAACTGCTATCCTATATGTATGGGTGCAGAATTGTGAATATGTTTCKAAAACATAATTGTAACTTTGTACGGGGAGTGTCCATTTTGGCGYATGAAAAATTTTCTATTTATTTACTTGGTCCACTTGTACGATATTGAAGTACTCTAGAAAATGCTTATGGTTCTGCACCTGCTSATTCCTCTCATTTTACAAATTTTGGATTTTTTTGTCTCATTTTAATGAATACACGTGTGTTAAATTTTAATTAAACAAATTTGGGTTAATTTTGGAGTACTCACAGATCGTCGATCCTCATTATAGGAACGAGTTCGCAGATAGTCGTGGAATAATTGGCACTAAAAGATAGAAGTGTGACACGGAAAGTAAAAAAAGTCATATTAAAATATGTTATTCTTTTTTATTCTTATGTTGACCGTTCTGAAATTCTTAATAAATATTTCTTCGCACAGTAACATCGAACCAATTTTTCAGAAGGTAATAACAGACGAGTAAAAGAAAAATAGCACAATTCTTGAATTAGAAAGAATWAGAAATTAGTAAATATTTAAAATTGCACATTGGTACATTCGTTGGTTGGTCGAAGAAGAATTATAAAGATATGAAAGAGATCTAAAAGTGGTCCTTAAACTTTAAGGCTTAAGGAAAATAAGATAGTTGAAAAAGATAGTTACAACARCCATTTTTTAAAGGATATATGTAGTTCTATTTGCATCAAGCGCACTTATCCACTTGTTACATACAATATTACGAAAGAAAAGGAGAACGCCATTGTATAGTTCAGTTTAGTCAATTCACAACAGCAATTCTCGAAATTTTGTGGGATTTTTTCGGAGAAGAGCTGTTATTTATTTGCTTTTTCGATAGCTTATATTTCCATAAATATTCAGTGAAATCGGGAATACGACCTTCCTGAAATAGTTTTTGGATGGCAGCGTTCTAGAGAGCGACCGCTCGGGGGTGCAAACATATACATATAAGTGAAACTTTAAACGCGTTTTTCTCGAAACGACATTTTTCAAAACTGCTGACATCATAAGTCAACGAGAAATTGACCGATCGACTTCAAATTAAAGCTGAGTATTTTTAAATATAAATGAATTGTCTGTTTATTGCCTCGTTAACCTTTTATTCACTATTGAAAKAAGCGCTTCTTCACAATTTATTGGCTGCGACTTCAGAAATGAAAAGTTATTGCCACTTGTCAGTGCAAGTGACTGCGAGGAATTGCAGCACAGACGAAAATTTCAACAAATCATTGAGTTCATAACATAAATAACTGGACATATATAAATAAAACTACAGCGGGACTSTTCAACGCTATATCTAATCTGTTTTCGAAAGAAGATGTTTACGAGTATATATAATAAAGCTGCAAAATAAAATACTTCATTTACTATATGTACATAGATATGTATGTATAGCCATACAGAAAAATCTTGAGTAGAAAGTAGATGGTAGAGAGGAAGGTGTTATTATTATATATTTCTGCGAAACTAAACTGGAAAATATCAGTTTTCATATAGGATTTCGCGAGAATCAAATAGTTAGAAAACTAGCAGATTCACACTCAATTTTTAGAAAGGTAGTTCAGAGAGAAGAGAAAGTTTCGTCGAAAAATCACTTCTATCAATAGAAATAAAAGCACAACAAACAAAAGCATCGGAATTAAAATTGCTCTTGAGGGATTAATGTTGTTAAACATTAACTTTAATTTAAAAAAAATATCCTTGTGCTACAAACAACATCCATTTATTCCAAATATAACATTCTTTAAAATAAGACATTCTTTCAAATTGCGTGCACCAGAACTTTATTACATTGGTAGATCCAAGCTTTTTTTTAGTTGTACACCCTTTAAAAATTGGAAGTACTTAAAGTTTTAAGCTCTACCGCTTCTTGCCATTTGGACAATCATTTGTGAAATCTAATTTCATTTCCATACTTTCGGCTTCATATTCGAACTAATAATATTCGCGGTTTGGTATAAAGTCAATCATACTGTCGAAATTAATTACATTAAGAACCTGAGTCCTTATAAATATATATACAATACATATGGYAATCTAAGAGTTTAACCGCGTTGAGAGTTCGGCGGAGATTAATAAAATTACTTTTAATAGCGGGGTATATATTGAAAAAAAGTATGTTATTAAATTTGCAATGCATCGAATTCACATTTCGATAATGTTTACAGTTGCTTCAACCCAATAGTCCAATCCAACCTAGGTATTGAAAAGAAGTCATCGAAACATTATATAATATTACTCACWATACTAAAAGAATTAGTGTGATCATGGGTACCGCTTTGCTTGCCACAGYGAATAGACTCTCTTCCTTCTTGAATTGGGGTGAGATAATGCTATATTAAACGTATTTAATTGTATCGTTCTTGCTTTCATGAATTCATTCTGTGTCACTGAGCAGGCACAACAASCATTTCACAAACCACAAGGCAAGGCCACAACAGCGACGATTATTGTTCATTTCCTCATGGATGGCACAKACTTACATATTCTGCACTTGATTTTTTGCGTCACTCTTTGTACCCGGGTGCAATATGTTTCATAAAGCTCTATGATTTTATTAATCTAACAGTTTTTCTATGAGTATAATGAATTCCCGAAAATATCAAATTCGGTTCATATCTTTGACTTAAATTTTAATTAACGGATACTCATAGTTAACTGTCTTGTTTTATTATGATATGATGTTTTCAAAAAAAAGTAGGCAAAATAAGTGTGTAGGAATTCGGTTTTGGCAGACCTTAGCCTTTTCCTATTTATTTACATTTTGGGTTTTTTTGCAGTTGTTTGTTTCTCCTACGTTATTCGTAGGGCACTTGCACTTGAAAATATTTTTGAAATTGTTTCTAATTATGTTTTGCTTTAGTTTCGGGTTCGTAAGTGTGGCGTTGATACGASCGGATGACATTATCGCAGGGCATTCTTTCTTAATTTTTAACCACATTTTTKATAAAAAGAATTAATAGTCATGGGAAAAAATAAAGGAGGGAGTGGAGCAGGTAAAGGGGGTGGTGGCGGCGATAACAGTGGAGGTGGTGGCGGTGGTGGAAATGTAAGCAAAATTTGTGTTATGCAAGCGAAATGTTTATTGTAATTGTAAGTAGACCGATAGATTGACTTCAAATATATGGTATAAATATTTAATATATGATCTAGATATGCACACACATAGATTTTTCTAATCTTGTGTCACATATTTTAAAAACTAGGTATACATTAGRAAGTTAATTTTACTAAAGATGAATATAAATTTATATATAAAAGGGAACAAAAAGAAGGAATCGTCACGGAATATACAGTTGAACATCCTTATTTTCGAATCGCCATAATTCACAAAATAATTTCGAATTTCAAATTATGGGAGTTCAACTATACATATAAATAATAAGCGAGACGAGTGGAGTAGATTTATCCATACCCGTCTTTCCGTTTGCAAACTAATTCCATAGTTTTTAAGATATCGGCCAAAAATTTTGCACACATCCGATATCAATTTTGACAGGGATTGATGACTATGTATGGCGACTTAACTCAAAGAAACTCAAGAACCCTTAAATCTGTACTAATCAAGAAATTTGGCTTACCTTTCATTTTCAGAAAAAAGGTGGTGGCAGTGGCGATAAGAGTGGGAACAAAAATAAGGGTGGTGGGGTTGCAGAAAAAGCTGGTGGGAAAAAGGGGCAAGAACAGAAGGTTGGCGGAAGTGGAGTAGGAAAAAAAGGAAACAAGAAGTAACCAAGAAAGATTAGGTGTTCACTTCCTCAATTTATTTGTATATTAAAAACTATATTGTATAAAAAACAGTTTTTGCCAGTAAAATTAATAAAAGTTAATAAAAGTTTAAAGTTTATTTTTTTTTATTTGAAATATAATTGTTGTTATAATTATTGTTTAATGGGAAACATTTATTAAGCTCTTACAAAAGATAATAATAAGTATTTTTCTTAYTCGTGTAAAAATATCTACCATGTCAGTAATAACGAATTTCAAGAACTGGTTGAGTTCCAATAGACAGCAATGCAAATGCATTGCATATTTAAGAAATAAATTCACAAGAAAGTCTTTTTTTACCCTAAAAACCTTATCCCCAATCAAGATTCTTTTGCTTTTCATTTATGATATTCTGCACCACTATTTTTTTCATTGTTACTCATTGYTAATAGAAAAAATTAAATTAAGATTCTCGACAAATTAGAAAAGACCTGATTCAAAAAAATAATGCAATTCTTTAATGGCACGAAGAAAACTGAGTCTCACGCTCCCTTACAATTATATAATAAATTGGAACTAATATTAGAATAAAATTTTGGTATATTTTTCCGGCTCTAAAATTTTAACATTCCGACAATTTTGCTCAGGGACCTAGGTGGAAATCCATCACTGAAACTGAATATTTAGCCTGCATATAGGCACTGAGCATTCAACCACTATTCAGCCTAAACTTTATTTCMACTGCCATTGTATAATTATGCCAAACTTTCGTTTCGTGTACGCATTTCGTTAAATTTTTCTCACAACTCGGCAAAATACTATTTTTTTTTAAATAATTGCAAGACATTATGCTAAACTTATTGATAAAATTTATTTATAATGTTCTACGGATTTTGTTATAAATAAGAAATGTTCTTCAAAACGTAAGAGATGTCCCAGTTGTTAGAACAGCCCCTCAACTAGCGAAACCAATCTTGTGACATCGCCCCAAAGAAAGAGGCAGCTCCTGATTTAGTTTTGGAATCGAACTTAACTTTAATGCCTTCATTAGTCACAGTTGAAGTTAAAGAGCTCGCTTTATGCGCCGCTGTCGAAGCAGGCTGAAAGGGAAGGTAATTCAAGAAGAAAAAAACGTAAGCATGAAGAAGTGGTTGTGTAAAATATATGTTTGCATGGTTAATGGTATATCAAACATTATATCTGATAACGGTAGGTACCAAGCATTTAAACTCGCAAAATTGATTTAAGCAAAATGAAACTCCACAAAACAAGAATTAACATTAGTTCAGTGGCAAAATAAGATATTATACCAATTTGGTGCAAACGTAGCCAAACACAGAACTTAGGAATTTTGGTAGTTAATTTTTTTTATATTAAATGCAATCAGTAGTTTCAATTTCGTTGGAATGGAGATTTTAACAGAAAACAAAGATAAAAATCAGTTTAAGTTGAGAAATATACTTATCGGTCCCAAAATAGATTTAGCTTACGCGGATTTAGCTACAAATCAAAGAAAATATTCTTGAAGAAAATTTGAACGTATATACTGTAACTGTTATAAGCAAGTGTAGTAAAACAAAATGTGTGATTTACCTTTTCACTGTTCACAATAACGTTTTTAYGCTCCGAATACTCGACGAATGCTGGAGTTACAATGGGTAGGAGAGGAAACCATGCTGTTGATGAGCCAATTGAACTTAAACACAAAATATTTGGATCTTTCTCATGTATCAGATTCGCAGATCCTTTAGGAGCCATGTGTGCTGGGAAAGGTGGAGTCAGCACACCAAACTGACAATGGTACCGAGCGATCGATCTTTTCACATTACTTGATATAGGTTCAGAAAATAATTCGAAATCAAATGGATCAATGAAGCTCTTGCATGTGCCTTGCAAAGCAGAGAATTGATCATTCAACTGTTTGTCATCTCTAGTAACGGCAAATATAGTTTGTAAAAATTTTAAATCGAAATATAGTTGTAGTGCGATATTTTGGTTGCTTGATATATTGTCGGTTAGGATTTTTTGGTATTGCTGCAAGATTTGTGCCAACATATTCACGTTGTAGTAGTGAAGAACTTTAGTTGGTAACGTTTGTGGGACATTCGAATTCAACATGTGTACTAATGTGAAAAGATACGTTTGTAGTGAGATACGTGGTTGATTGGGGATGCGAAAGGTTGAATGTATGGTGGATTCCGCCTCATCCTTTTGGTCAATTTTAACAGTTTCCCAGTTCTATAAGCAATTAAAATGTAATTAACAACAACATTCATTTTTTACTTTAAATTATTATTATACTTACAGCAAATTCTTCTAGAATGTTTTCATTTGTAATAGAACTTGGAAGATTCCTTTCACGATTGCTCTCTTGTAAAATGCCTTGAACAATTTGTTGCCAAAAAATGAAGGTTTCTTCTTCAATTAACATACACACTCTATTCCAATGTTCAATACTATTTGCGGTAACATTTCCCACCCACTGACGCCAATTTCCTCTTTGACAGAAGCAGGTTTTCAAATTGGGGCAGAGTTCAAGGAGAGCTGCAAAGCAACGTGCTACAAATAAAAGTTCACTACGCTGTGTCGGAACTAAGTGAAGGCTTTTTACGCGACTCAAAAAATGTGTTAATTGTGCTTCAGAAGTCTCTCTCAAAAAAACAATCAATGAAAGTTTGTCTTCTGCACGAGTGGCTTGCTCTTCAAGAAGAACGTTCATTTCAGATATGATACTTTTCAATTTCTCATCGAATTTAGCGCAAAGTGATATTATGTCGTTATCATATCCTTTTGTTTTCATTAGCAATTTTTTAATTTTCGTATCATCACTTAAAGCTACTTCTAAACTTGGTGGAAGATCATTAATATTTTCATACCAAATATCTAATGAACTCAAATTTATATCCGCTAATGATTGCTCCAATGATTCAAATGTTGTTTGCATCGCTTTTGCCCAATTATCGTGGATAATATCGTGAATGCGCTGATTAATAAGTGGTATATATTTCTGTTCGAAAAAATCCAGTGTTTGCGTGAGTTTTAGCCTTTTGACGACTTGATCAAATTTGAAATAATTTTTGTAAGAATTAGCTTCTATTTTTATCTCTTTGATTGTACTCATTGTTGAAACGTAATCAAAAAGTTGCTTGAGTTGCGTTGCCGCAATACGTCTGATATCAATTATCCATTGTTCAAGGGATTCGCGGACTTGTGTATCATCAAGAGACTGTGTTTCGATTCTAACACGAAAATTCGAAATGATCTCCGGTAGCAAATACGAATGAACTACATCCGCCTCCTCAACTAAAGTTATTATTGGCGATGAATTTATATCGTTGTGCTCTTGTAGTCTTTGCAATAGTAAACCATTTTCTGGAAGTTCAGAAAACAGATTAAATACAAATATTTAGAAAATAACATAAGCATCAAACCTAAAAAGCATTTCTCTATAATATCAATTGTGTTGTTTAATATGCGTAAGCTCGCTAATATTATATTTTGTACTCGTCCCCGCTCTTCAATAGACCGTGTTTTATCATTGCTCAAGCAAGTCAAAAAGGTTTTGCACCGTAAATTTAGAAACGTTTTCAAAACACTATTCAATGAATTTTTTTCCAGTATCAACAAACTAAGCAAACAATCTGTGGCCACATTGACATTCAAATCTTCCTTCTCTAAGGTTGCCAGTACATGCATTTTTATCGTCATATTGAAGGGCTTTAAAATTTCCCATTGTTTTTTTGCAACAGGTAGATGTTGCATTAACATATTACTTGCATCTAACTGTAAGCCAGTGCTGACATGTCTACTGAAAATAAACAATTCACTGGCGCTATAAAATCGGTCATTATCAATGTGAGTCCAAATTAATTCAGGTAAAGTTGTCAACAGCTTTATCTGCAGCATTGTGCTAAAGTAGTTATTTAGTTGCTTATTAGCATTGCGATTGCGAAGTAAATTTTCCGGTTCGCTAATCTTAAATCCCAATAGTTGCTGATCGTTAAGATTACGACAGTTAATGGTAATTGAATCCACTTGCTCTGTGAGGCTCTGTGAGGTATCTTTCATAGCCACAATAGTATCTGCAGCCTGCAGTAAATCACGATAACGTTCGCTATAGAAATTTTTTTAAAATAAATATGTTTATTTTATTTATATCCAACAAAAGCGTACCCGACCATTAACCGTAGCTCCTCCCGTTTGTTTTCGACAACCGATTGAATTTTTTTATGAACGATATCAATTTCTGGAACACTGTGGTGCTCGAACAGAGTGTCTACGTCCACACTCAATAAATTAGCGGCATCCATTATGCCGGTAAAAGTTTCACGAATTATTCCAAATTGTTGAAAAATGTGAAATAAATATGACACGTCAGTGACAGCTGATTGATTACAGCTACATCTAGCGGCGGTTAGCAAATGGGACACTTACACTTTTTAAGTGAGAAGTTTGAAAGAAAAAAATTATTTATATAAGTTATTAGAATCTTTCGTGAAATTGCTAATAAGATTGTAAAATATTTCAAATACTTTCGCCATAAATTTTATTTATGATTTGAAAGAGCAATATAATGAATGGAATAAAATAAAAAAATTATTATACTAATGTATAAACTAAATTAAATTTTTGGAACTAACTAATATTTAGATTTATTAAAGGGGTTATTACAGAAATGATTTAAATGTAATATTTAGAGTAGGCATTTACTAAAAACGTTCAAATGTGTTAATAAATATATTGGCACCGATATTTTAATTATTAACAATCTGGCAACAGTCAGAATTGCTTCATCCACATGCCAACATCGCTCTACAATATATATTTCGTTATACTCCAGCCGGAAGGCTTTCTGTCCTTTGTTTGATTTTGTGTTGTTTACATTTTCTAAAATGAAATATATCTTAAAGAAACTAAACTGGCGTATTTCTTATAGTAGAAGTGAAATTGRTCCAGAATTCGGTTCATACATCACTGCAAAACTATGCCTAATAACAGGATTTTGATTTCGCTTAGTAAAATTTTTAAATTACTCGAAAATAACGATGGAGATGCCATTTAGATTTTATTAACAATTTATTTTATTAACAATTTATTTTATTTCGTCTTCCCTTCTGTCTATAATGAACATAATTTTCAAATTCAMATACAATTATTAAAAGTTTTTGACAAATGAAATACAACAAAGCTGTCCGAAATGATTAAWTGGATTAAATAAAAAAATTGGTATGAAAGGGAGAATTGTCAAATATTTAAAAAATATGATGTTTTCCACATAAAATTGATAAGACGATAAGTGCATCTTTTGTTTTATTTTTGCAGAATTTTCACAAGTAGAAAGGAAGTAATCAGCAAAAATACATTATGAATTATCTTATTCAACGGGGAAAGGTTCGCAATCAAATGATAAATGTACCTCAGGGACTCCCGGAACTCTTGTCGGATATCACACGGGAAGTATTGCGTTGTCAGCCAACAACGGAATGTCTATGCCAATTCATTATTGACTACTTGCATTCAGTAATTGTAACAAGAGAAAAAGCCAGAGGTAAAACAAAAGTATTGTTTGTCTGGAATTATTTATCATATCAAAAATGTTAATATGATTACAGTGGCCAAAGGCATTATCGATCGCGCATTAGCCGGGGTGGATGAAATCATCGCGGACATGTGTGTTTGCGATATCAGTAAGGAAAAGGCCCAAGAAATGGCAATTCATATGGAAGAATGCTTCCGACGCTTCCTGAGCAGAATGCGTTGTGAACAGCGAAAGGATATTGAAGTTGTGCGTTTCGAGGAAAGAGATATGCTCGATGCAATGATWGAGCGCTGCAAGTTCACTGAGCAGGAGTTAAAAATCTCCAAACCAATTATCGAAGTTGCTTATCGCCGCTTTGTGGATGCATACATGAAAGCACATGAGGTAACTAAAGACCAAAAACATCCTCTATTGACATAATTGAYATATTTCATTTGTCAAGGACTTTGAAGGCACCGAAGAACTATACCAATATTTCAAAGAACGTGAGCATAAGCGACAAGAAGAAGAGAAGGCAAAATTGGCTGCAACGAAAATTCAGGTTTCAATACGCAGTGATGGAATGTTTCTTTTGAAAGCTAACACTTCATATATATTTCAGGCAAATTTCAGGGGGTATAGAGTACGAAGAAATTTAGGCAAGCCACTGCCCAAAGAAGTTTCTCAAGAAGAGGTGGGAATAGTATAAGATTGGAAATCTAATTTGAATATGATCCTTCTATCTTTATCCACCTTTAGTTTGAAGATGAAGGTCTAGAGTTAAAAACTCAAGCTGCAATTACTATTCAAAAAGCTTTTCGCCGTCACTTGTCTTCTTTGGAGTCTAATAAATCAATCGAAAAGGTGATCAATGAAGTCTTAAAATGAAATTGAAGGTAAACATTAAAGTTCTCTTTATAGGACGGTGAGATTTGTGAGCCCGGCTCTGAAGTTAAAGTTGTATGTAACTTTTAATTTCTCTTTGTGTAAGCATAGATATACTTACATTGTGGATTATTTCAGACTGCTACCGATATACCGGGCGAAGATATTACAGAACCTCAGGAGCATATAATAGTAAGCAACGTTACCTTCAAAGCTGACCATTTAGTTTTACGTAATTATAATATTGGTAGGGTGAGGATGTGCCTTTAGAAGCAATGCAACCATCTCAGCCACCTGCTGAAGTCATCTCGGAAGTCGCACAAGAACCTGAACCAGAAGCCGAACAAGCAGATGAGCCTATTCGTGTACCCGAGCCTGAGCCAGAACCGGAACCTACATTGGAGGTAGAACCAGAACCAATTTCACAGGAGCTGGAACATTCTGAAGCTCCTCCGGAAAACGGCCCAGCAGTTGAGGAGGAGTCCGCTGTTGAAGCGGCTGCAAATGAAGTTGATGTTCCTACAGAAGGCTAAAAATTTGGAGCTTTTAATTGTTTGTTTAATAAAAAATTTGATTTTATAAAGAATTTGGTGAATACATTGTGGGTCTCAAAACTCGTTATAAAAAGAACCAACTGCAATTTTTAGTCATGTGGAAAGCATACACACACAAACACCAATATGTTTTGAAGAAATTTACTGCTTTCCTTCGCCTCTATTTATGGCATGCCGGTAGCAAAGTATATTCATATGCGATGTAATAAAAATCCGGTCGCCTTATTTTATGAACCGTATTATTAAATTGTCCGCAAGCACATTACAACCCTCCAGTTTTGTCTGAGAACGAGCTAGAGCAGTTGGGTGGAGAAGGTAGAATGAGTAGTTTTTAAATCGCATGCCCTTGAAAATGGTATGGTCATGAATTTTTGCTGAAAAGTGGAAAAAATGTCATACTTTCAATGGCTTCATAATTTAAGTTTATTACAAGGATAACTACATTGGAGTGTAGTAATTCATACAGAAAATTCCTGGTTAAAGATAGAAATATGTTAGTATGGTGAACGTATCGACATATGAAATAAAAACACACATTCTTTTTTTTAAATATGTACATATGTATGTATTTATGCCTTATTCCTTAAGCATAGTTAAATCATACGCGCCTGTATCCAGTCATTAAATATTGATACTCTAGTGTACACATCCGGGATGACAGTGAAGACTCCGCAAACAAACAGCCCGTACGAGACAATACCTACTTGATGTAATCCGGCGCTTGTTTTCATCACCAATGGTCCACCAGAGTCACCCTATAAAAAACTTATATATTTGGTTTAAAAAGTATAATTATACCCACTCACTGAACAAGCACCCGTAAGTATGGCACCCCGTGCGCAAATTTCTGTTTCTGTGAGATCCTCCATTCCACTATTTGTGCATTCCTGGTTAGTAATGGTGTGGTAGTTCATTGTTTGCAAAATGGTTGGATAATTTATGTTCTCCAACTCCGGCGGCAGGAAAGGTAAGGAAATGGGCAATCGCAGACCCCAACCAGTCAATGTGACAGGTACTCCTCCATCCACAAGATCAGAACCACGCACCTCAATAGCTGACATTCGAATTCCATCCAAATTTAGTGATACCACAAGTGTCAGAATCGCTATATCACTGGTAACGAGCTCCTCGTAGTTATCGTGAATATCATAGGATGCAACTTGTACTCGTACACCTTCTGAGTCATTGAGATCGCGCACCCCAGCCAGCACCGTCATCCGCTTCACATCGAAATCTTTACAACAATGGGCGGCTGTGAGAATGCGATTAGGTGATATTATTGAACCACCGCAGAAGTGTTGGTACTTATTTTTTCTCGTAAAATACTGTAGCGATACTTGATAGGGAACATATTCGCCAGGCGGCACATCGTGGCCACCAACAATTCGCGTTGAATCCGTGGTGGACGTCACAGCTAAAAACAAAGAAAAAGTCAAGAGGCTGTCTGTACGGTCGATGCACGAGCATACCATGAGCGAAACAAAGCAATGTGTTTAGAAAATGTGGGACACTAAGCCCTTTAAACAATTCCATTTTTTATTAACAGCAGACTGTTATGCCATTAACATTTCGTATTTTAATAAATTTGTATTAAACTGTCACCGATCTATTTATAGTTGCACRATATTCCACATATTCACATATTCATAGTAAACAGGCAATGCAATTAACCACGAATAATTAGCCCTCGCAGTCGTCACGACCTCCAACAAATATCAGTGCCATTAGCATAACTATCTGTTGGGTCATGGAATTAGAGCTGCACTTGAAATGCATGACGCTTGATGACTTCGACAATCAACTGTATGTACATGCAAATGTTTTTTAGACGAGCAAAAAACTTAATTTAATATATAAGTTAATAGATAATTAAACAAATTTGCAAAAGGGCGTTTGTGTTTATTTGAAACTGTCCATACAGAGATACATTTGAATAGCTAGATTCACCCCGTAGGGAAATTAGTAGCTATTCCAAGATGACAAAAATACCCTTACAGATATGCATCTAAATATATCCAAAATTGTGCGTTATAAATTAAAGAGTTAGAGAGTTTTCATACTCCTGCAACCTGTTGCTGCAGAGTACAATACATACAGAGTAAATACAGTCGAAAATGGGTTGTGTCGAGCCAAGCTCCCATATACCTACAATATTGGGAAAAATAGATAAAATCGGGTYGAAACTACGCCAACTCACTTATACTACATTCATATGTATAATAATGATTTTCGTTTTTTTAGGGAACCATGTGTCGAATATGTCGAGTTATATATKAATATGAACATATAAAATTGCTTGGATACTCTGGTTGACATTTAACTCCTTAAGGTATTTCCCTGGGTTTGATTCTTGTAAGAGTATAAATGTTCGGTTGCACCCGAATTTAGCTCTTCCTTAATTGTTCCTTTCTTTACTGTGAAATAAAAAAAGATACAATTTTAAGTCTTATAATTGCGGTTTTCATTAATAAAGTTCTTATTTCAATGTCATAACGTTGCTCTTTAAATTCATACATACATATGTAGGTATGTACATGGGTTATTTTCTCTTAAGATAAGCGCGCTTTGACCCAGCCGTCGAACATGGATACGCGGGTGTAAACATCGGGATTATTGGACGCACATAATGCAGTGCCATAGGAAACGACTCCAACCTGTTTCAAGTTTCCACCATTATCCATTACCAGGGGACCACCGGAATCACCCTGAAAATTTGATTTATTCTCATTTAGCAATTAAGAATTACCAATACTCAAATTCAATGTTTAATCATTTCATACATTACAAGCTCCTTTGCCGAAGCGCTCCAATGCGCATATCTCCGTGTCGGTCAACTGTGTCATAACTTGTTTGCATTGCTCGTTGGTGATTGTTTTGTAGGACATCCGTTGCAACAATGTCGGGTATATGGCCAATGGACCTTGGCCCACATGCCACATAGCACCCCATCCAGAGAGCGTTACAGCCTGACCACCACCGACTTTGTCACTTCCACTCACATCCACCTGTTTTACTTTAGCGCCATCCAACTCAAATGGTGGCTCGATTTTTAAGATGGCTATATCACTAGTAACCAACTCCACATAGTTCTCATGGATTTCGTAGGACAACACCTGTGATCGAATTCCAGAGCTATCGTTAAGGTCACGTATTCCYGCCACAACTGAGATTCGCTTTGCATCCTGACCATTGACACAATGAGCTGCCGTTAGAATGCGATTGGCAGCAATTATGGATCCACCACAGAAGTGTCTATCTTTGCCACTTCGTGTCCTATATTGCATGGATACCTGATAAGGGATGTACTCGCCCTCAGGTACTGCGGCACCGCCAACTACTCGCTCTTGTGAATCAAAATCATGTSATTCGAAGTAATCATCCACTTTATGGTTAATAATAGAAAAATTATACATATACATTAATATATAAATGTATATTCACAAACCCATTCAAAAGTACTTACAATCTAGAATGGTTCCCTTAGAGCGCCTTAGACTAGTGAAACCAGTTCCCAGAAAACAGGATATAAATAAAATGGTTATTCCGTCTGATCTCATTTCTATGTGGTCTTTATAATGCTATTTCCGATGTAGTGCCACTTGCCAAATTCATATACCGTTTATATACTGAAATTTCCAAGGCACCCATGAAATAACCTCTGTTAATTTTTAATCGCGAACAGTAGGCGGTAACGAATTTACATACATATGGTGTTTTAGTTTGTGTATGGGTAATAGGAAAATAAAAGTATTTTTGAGCTCATTTGGTTAAAGGTTTGGCATATTTCAGGGCTTTCATCGCTACATACATAAGTTCCAGTTTACTCTTGTTTGCAGCCGCAGCCTTCAGTTCCCGCTTTTTTTAAGAGAACCATATAGTGGAMAAATAGCTTAATCATATCTTCATACTTTTAACAATTATTGGATAAGGAATTCATAAAACCAACAATTCATAAGCCATAGATGTATGTTGACTGTGCGATTTATAGTTTATACTGCTTTCTAAAATAAATATGATATATTGTAAAGCAACTAACCATTTGCTTCTTACTAACACTTAACAGCTATTTTCTTAGAAAGCCCCAATAATTCGAGAGGATGAAGCTTACTTATTTCTAAGTTATACAGATAATCCACATTGGGAGCATGCCACAGTGCTATTTGGATTTTTTCCTATAACTAAGTTTGACCAAKAGTGCTTTCGGGTTAAAAAGTCTTGACTGAGCTTGTGGTGAGTGAAGCATTTTCAATCTTCTTAAGGGCATTTAGTATATCCAAGTAATAAAAAATAGGTCATACTATTTGAATTAAAATAGTTTTATTTAGCCATTTCGAAATTTGAAAATTGCATTTGACTTAATTTGCACTACACATACCATATCTACATAGAAAGGTTAAAGAAATCTTCATATAGCAATATAAAGAAATACTAACATTTAAGATGACACTCTGCGGCGGCAACAACAAAAGGGATGGCCTTTGCGATTGAATGTGGAGATTCGCGTTGAAAAACGGCAACAGTTGTAACCATACTGAGCATGTTGGAGCAGAGTTATAGTTAAGTGTTGTGGCCTTTAAACTGCGACGGACCACATGTTGTGTGCGGTATCAAGCTGGGTGCTGGCCAACAGCGCGATTCAATAACACACAGTAAGAACTTCTTCCACATTGTGCATTACGTAGTCAATTCGTTTTTGCACCCGCACATAAATACTGGCATATCATCAACATACGATTTTATCACATAACAATTCACAACTCCACCTTTCAAAACTTTTTCAACTTTAGTGAATTGCCAAAATCGGGCACACTTTCGCACATTTATTTGGTGAAAAATTATTTACAAAATAATTATAAGCAATTTATTGAAATGAGTTTGTACTCTTCCCGCAGTGACTGAAAATATTGCATTACGTCTCAAAACGATTTATTTACTAAATTTAAAGTAGAATATTTATTTAGAAATAAATGCAAAAACTATCTTTTTTTGATGAAGCCAAAAACTTTAAACTGTATTTGACAAACACTATAGTTACAAATTGTAATAAATTTGATTAAATTTGTTAACTGTAATTAAAAAATACTAGTTAGAGGGTCTAAATCGGCTGTAACCGCGAATTTTACACTGTTACCATGAAAGGCGGGTAAATATTTTCAGATGTTTTAAATACTCTATGCCTTTGTGGTGTGAGAATTCAGCATTCTCATCACATTTGGCATCTTATTAACTTATACTATTGGTCATAGGCTTACTTAATTTAATTACTACATTTTGTTTCGTGTCCGTATTTACATACATATATGTATTGACATGATCTTTTTGTAATTGTCTCAAATAAGCTGCTTACAATATATGTATGTACATTTAATGCTTTGGGTATAGGAGGAAAATGTCAACAAGAGAATTGGAAATTATTATCTAGGGGATATAAGGTCCAGATCGATTTCACTCAGCACTATAATTCGGTAAATTATATAATTTTAATTTTAATATGTTGAAACTAGGGTGTAAGGCCGGAAATTTATTTGTTTATTTATTTATTAAATGAAAAATAATAATACCATTATTATCTTACAGAGTAAGAGCACTAGCTGCCAGGGCTTACGGCTTAAGGTCGGAAATCAATATATCGAGTTTATTGGAAGGTTTTGACTGATTGCATTAACTTTTGTCAAAACTCACGAACTTATTTGCACAGAATTTTATGAAGGTAATTTAGATTATTATAATATGTATATTTCTGGTAAATTGCATTAAGATAACTCATACATTGACCGATTGTATATCTCAATTTTAATAATAAGTATACATATCTGTAAATATTCTACTATAGTTAGAAAATTTTGGTTCTCACGTTGTGAGAACATCCATATGTATGATTATTCAGTGAGAGTTTAATTCTGCAAATTGATCAATTTCGGGTGGCATTTCAATTGCACAAATTCTGWGGAATAACACCTACTACTATCCTCCTATCATGAAAATTTTCGATGGCCCATCAACTCACGTCCAATGTTTTCTTGCAAATGCATTCACACAGATCGTTGCAATGTCGGTGGCAACGGTTTTCGGACATGAATTCGGTCTGTTCTCCGTTGTTTAATTCCGCAGCTTGACAGTTTTTATCTGTAAAAAATTTAAATATTGTAATTTCAAACTTGAAGTGAGCCGTACGAACAGTTTGCTGTCAAGCCAAGCTAAGCCAGAAGTGTCGAATCATTAGATCAGCATCCAAACCAGTTCGCATCCATTTGCGCAGATGACTGATTCATTCATTCTTGTTTTGCCTCCAAAGGATACCGCTTGGAGACAACAGATAGGTGCATCATACTTTACTCAGTCATCGATTGAGAAGAGGAGGAGGAACTGCGATAATGTTATTGAACAGAAAATATCCTCTTCTTTTTATACCCTGAACAGAGTATATTAAGTTTGTCACGAAGTTTGTAACACCCAGAAGGAAGGGTCGGAGACCCTATAAAGTATATGTATAAATGATCAGTATGTCGAGCTGCGTCGATTTAGCCACGTCCGTCTGTCTGTCCGTATATATACGTACTAGTCCCTCAGTTTTTAAGATATCGTTTTGAAATTTTGTAAACGTCATTTTCTCTTCAAGAAGCTGCTCATTTATCGGAGCTGCCGATATCGAACCACTATAACATATAGCTGCCATACAAACTGAACGATCGGAATCAAGTTCTTGTAAGGAAAATTTGCACATTTCACAATGTATTTCCATAWAAGTTGGCACAGGTTATTTTCTAAAGCAAAAATATAATCTCCGAAGAAATTGTTCAAATCGGTTAACTGCCATACAAACTTTTTCTTGTTTCGCAATTCATTGGTTTACGCGATGGCCCTCTCGTGAAATCTTGCGTGGGCTTGATGAGTGCCCCTGCAGCATACAACATTAGCTACACTGTGTTAATGAAACATTCTCATTGTGTTTCTTCTACAGAATTGCCATTGCTACTCAAATTGAATACTCCAATTATTGCTACTGTGTTATAGTGAGCTTTCAGAACGATTGAGTTGAGTTTGCGTGCATTTAATCGAATTAATTATGCACACCTTTGTTAGTTTTTAAGCTTTACTGCCGGCTGCGCTTTTTGGCTAACCACCTCCTCTTAAGTTCTTCTGCCTATACGGAGAATGGGTCTTGATCTCTGCACTGTTGTGTTAATTGTTAGTATGGCCTGCCCACCCGTCCAGTTGATTATACCCTTATTGACGGGTAGGATGTTGCATGCCACTGTCGGCGTATGCCATGCTATCATGTCACTGGCGCAGGCGTAGACAGAGGTAAGGAAAGGCTCAATGGCTTTATTTAGAATGAATTTGTATTGTAAAAGTTTTGGTGTTGTTTGTTTGCTTATTCATTCACAACTCGCCACGGGTCAGTGTCATGATTCTTAATGCTTTCCCACTTAATTGGACCACACGTWTTCGCATGTATTAACAGCAGTGATTTAATGAGATTCAACTAATTTGCATATGCCTCAAAAATTGTTGCTGATGATATACAAACGAAATGCTACGGAAGGGATAGTCTTATAAGTGTCTACATATAGTACATAAACATCAAGGACAATTAAACTAGCTTTCTTGAAGACATTACACACATGATCGCAAATAAGCTAAATTGACTCATGTCGGAAATGTTTCACACCTTCCACCTACGCAATACCACTCATTACACAGCACAAATTACATGTAGAGCCGATAAAAAGGGCATATGGATGTACCGAAAGCAATTAAGAGCAGAATGAAAATTAAAGTTTCCTGCGATGATCACCAAGCGTCACATAAACATATTTACAATTATTGGCTTAAGTTAAATGATTTGTCAGAATTGGAGAGAATATTAGAAAAATAATTCGGGAGGTCATAAAATTCGTTGGCTTTTAAATTTAATATTCGTGATTTATTTTGAGTTCTCTTTGTCCTCATGCTTCATTTGAATCATCTTTTATTATTGACTTTTGACCTCAGTTATGCATTCCACATTTTTGAAAATGGACACACACCTGTGGAGAGAAACAATTTTGCAGATCGGAAAAAATTGAGGTTAAGGAAGTTTATATTGAAGACGTCCTAGCAAAATTCTAAAGATACTTATATTGTATATTGCATAGTTTGCGCTTCCAAACTTAATACTTATTGTTATAAAGAAACCACAACTGAAACATAGTAAATCATTCGAGTAACCCTATRTCTATCTGCAGGGTGGCTGATGAAAGCCAAAGAAAAATAAATAACTTTTTTTCTATTTAATGAATCTGGTTAATTTTTTATTTTATTTGCAGATTGACTTTTACATTTAACAAAAATGGATAACTGATACACTGAAACAAGAACATAAACAAACAAAATTGTCGAATATGGAGTGCTTCCAACCCCCAGATACTCCGTGAGACGGAATTGCATCCACTTCGTGTCACAGTGTGTTGTGCAGTTTCATCTCGCTGCATTGTCGGGCCCTACTTCTTCGAAGAAAACGGTCACACCGTTACGGTTACTGGAGACCGTTACTTGAGCATGTTGAGAGAGTTTTTCTATCCAGAATTACGCCGAATGAGAATTTCTTTCAACTCTGTGTGGTTTCAGCAAGATGRYVYAGMTCCTCACATAGCCCAACCTGTTATGACAGAATTGCGACGAAAGTTTCCCAATACGCTGATATCCAGAAACTCCACATTCCGTTGGCTACCCAGGTCGCCTGATCTAACTGCACCTGACTTTTTCTTGTGGGGTTATTGCAAACAGGAAGTCTTCAAAGCAAAACCAACAAATTTGAATTAACTAAGGCAATCCATTCGAGAAACAATTGCGGCTATTCCTGTCTGAACTCTCCAAGCAGTAATGAACAACTTTTTGGTAAGATGCCGCACATGCATCAACGAGCAGTGGGGGGCATTTAAATTCCATTATTTTTAAAACTAATTAAGCTATATTTAATAAAATTGAATGAGCTTTRACATGAATAAAAGAAAAATGAGTTCCATACACTGAAAAAAAAAAAATAATAATTTGAGTTTCTTAATGTAGCAAAATTCATCAGCCAGGGCCATATAATATACATATATGTATATATATAACGTCAGATTTTAATCGCAGGGATCACTCGAGAATAATGGATGTCTTAATGAAACTAGACAGAATTTAATTAATCGGTAAATTAATTAGATGCTAGGTACAATTGCAACCACCTTTTCGGCAATAAAATGTYAGATCTCGTCAAAGTTTCTTCATGGTAGTCATTTTACATGAATCTTACCTATGATTACAAAAATTAACATATAATATTTATGAAATTCCGACCAAAGGATGTACATATATGTATGTGTAGTGGTATTGTTCGCGTCTTTGTTAAATGCCCACTGTGTATTTTATACTTGGGTAACTGTAAAACTTTGAGGCGTTTAATCATAAGTTGCCATATCCGTTAATCCCAGAAATGTAACTGGGCCGCATATGTACATATGTATATCTACCCACTAAATGCATGCATATAAAAAATATTATTAACCGCAACTACAAAGAAGGCACACACACAGAGGCATGTGCATTCTACAGAGTAGATTCTTCTTGTTCGTTCCCGCTTTTGTGTTTATATTCTTCGAATTGCATAACTTTGTGTATGGACATACGTACCCCGCAGATGTAGCGTGAACTTGTTGGTACGCTTTCAGCAACTCATTTGTTTGCCCACGTCTTTATGTTGTCAACAAACAGCTAATCCTTTGCACAATGCTTGAGGTTGTCCGTCGCTTTGTGATGTTACGGTGTTTGCTTGTTAATACAAAGTGGTAAAAGCTAATGAAAGCTATTAGAGACTTTGTTAAAACTTAAAATCAGCCTTTTAAAGGATATAATTTAATCTCAGTATAGGTTATGCGATATATTAAAAAGGAAATAACTCCCTTACCAAGGAGTCAGTTATTTACACGTTTTTTGATGTTTCTGGCAACGATTGGCGGTACCCTGATCCACATTGAAGCTAAATGTGGTTGTATAACTCTGTAAAATTGCGATTATCGGAAATGTTTTGCTTTGAATCGTTTTAGCTGGGCTTATTGCCAATCAGTATGGTTTTAAATCTCTAAAAATAAGGTACACTAAAGGGAATGCAGTCTTTAGTAATATTCGTCATAGGCACTCTGCCGATGGTCCTCGTAGCACTAATCAGTGAAAATCGAAAATTCATTGAAGGTACATCTTATAAACCATAAGCATAGATATAAATATATTTTTAAAATGTAGAAAACAACTSATAATGTTCGCAAATATTAGCGGTCAACCAGCTGAGGGAAGCCAACAGGACTATGAACGGATATCTGCCTTTTCCAGTACCTTTTCAAGTCTCCATACAAGTTAAACTCGGTAGGAGGTACCAGCATCTATGTGGCGGCAGCATCATTCACGAGCAAGTCATCTTAACAGCGGCGCACTGCTTCTATCAAAAACATCCAACGAAACATCTAAGGGTGATTGCCGGTGTACAAAATCTTTCAGAGGACACGGTTCAACGTTACGACGTTGCGCAAGTTATCCAGCACAAGGCCTTTGCACCTCTAAAAGGTTATGATATCGCTCTGGTTAGTCTAACTTCGCCGTTGCCCATGGATGGTGTTCATTTTGATACGGTGGATTATCGATCCGGAGGCAATGTCGAAGACAGCCTAGAAGCATATCTTATTGGTTGGGGTCGAACAAAGGGAATGCTGGAGATTGTTGCTTTCACGACGGTCCAATCGAATGATTGTCGGTTGTTAGGCTTTACTTATGTAACCAGCACTGATTTGTGCGCTTATAGCGCCAACGGACGTGGAGCYTGCGATGTATGTACGAATTCGAAATATTGAGCCTTGTACTTAGTTATTTCATAATTTAGGGCGATTCTGGTGGTGCATTACTTACCGCAAATCTTACCAAACAGGTTGGACTGCTGTCGTATGGCAAGTCTTTTTGTAAGAGAAATCACATCTATGTCTATACAAGTACGTTTCGCTTGATTGACTGGATAGACGGACAAATTGAAAATTTGGTAGGCACACAGAATTTTCGAGCATGATGTACTGAAAATAAATGTAACCGCAACGCTTGTAACGTATTCACATGTCGCAATATTTATTGGCAACAGCAGAATTATCAACTGGGTATTTATATAATTGTAAGAGAAGATTGTCATGTTGCAATTTGTTTTGTGACAGCAGAAGCCCCTACCTGTTGTCATCAATTAAGTAACAAGCACACGCGACCTATAAGTAACTTGAAAACAAAATCTATGGATTAACAAGAATCTCCACACTCAAGCTGTGTGCACTTACAGCTTTTATCTCTTTAAGGGCAAACAGTGGAAAATAAACAGCCAAAAGACAAGACTAAGTTTTTGATTTCATACGGCTTTAACGAGCCATTCGAAAATCGCGTTGTCCTACAGGTTTGTGTGGCGAAAATGGCTGTAACTGTTCACAGTCTGCTTTATTAATTATCGATTGCATTTCCCCAAACCTAATTGGCCCATAAAAGAGTAATACACTAATACTCTTCACTCTTTTATATGCCTTAAACACATTCATGAGTTCTAATTTTTCAAAAAAATGCAGATCTTCCAAAATAACCACACTTATTGAATCCACAGTAGTTACGGAACTACATATCTCACCTTAGCAGATTTAAAGCACTTCCATGAGCGATTTCGCGCACTGTGTGACATCGAACTTAGCCAAGCCATAATTTATGTCCTACTGCGGCGCATGCTTGAGCTCGACTGTATTACGGTTCATGGTAACTTGGTAACTTGTGTTCTTGTAAACAAATGAGGTATTGAAATAAATGAGAATGTGTAGGCTCTGTTTTCTGGACACATACAACATTTCGTTAATTTTCACCGAACTGGCACCTGATAAACTAACTGGCGAATGAACGCTTGGCCGATACTGAAGACAAGAGGCAAATAAAGCCGCATTGTTTAACTCGATAAAAGAGTAAATTAAATAAATAAAACATAATTGTGTCACATACATGGCTCTTATTTATAAGAGATTGTGAGACGACATAATCGTTAATAAAATAATAATGATATTTCAATTTTCCTTAATCTTATAAATAGCTACTATTATGTCCCAACTTTCTTATTCGTGTTCGGATATTGGATACTTACTCACTTCCAGCATGTTTAAGTTAACGGCGTTCAGTATACTAATATTCATTGCTCAAGGCAATGCTTCCTTCATAGAAAAATCAAATTTTACAAAGCTAAATTTAAAGGAAATTGATATCTGGGACTTGGGAAACCATACCGATGTGCTTGCCTCTGACTCTGTGARTCGTATAAATGGCGGACGGCCGGTAGAACAAATCGTTCCGTACCAGGTATCGTTGCAGGTGTTCCGACGTGGACGYTATCATCACTTTTGTAGTGGTTCCATTATCAGTCCTCAGCACGTTCTTACCGCCGCTCATTGCTTAACGAAGATGAACCCGAATGAGATCAGTGTTGTTGTCGGTACATTGACATGGCGCARTGGTGGTGATCGTCATGGGGTTATAGCAATGCGCTCCCACCCGGGTTTCTCATCGAGTTCATTAATTATTAATGACATTGCGGTGTTAAAGGTAACTCCGTCATTCAATTTGGCCAGAACATCAATAAGCACAATTTCGTTGGGTAATCGAGCACGTGTGGGTGATAAAGTGGCAGTGCGTTTGACAGGCTGGGGCTCCCTGACGCCTACGGGATCGACCGGTTTGCCAGAACGATTGCAAGTGTTAGATTATCACACCATATCGAACCAGGAATGTGCCCAACGTGGATTTCGYATAACAGCCAATGAGCTTTGTGCCCTCGGCGAAAGAGGTCGCGGCGCTTGTGTGGTGAGTGGTATGATTCCATTTATCTAACAATTATTTGTAATACTATTCACTTAAAATTGTCGTGGTTGTATTTTTTATATTTTGGATTTATGACAGAATCAAATTTCTCTTTTATATCAATATATTGTAGTTATTTTAGTTCCATTCATTCTTATATCCCCATATTTTCAGGGTGACTCCGGAGGTCCACTTACAATATCAAACGGCACACCGCAGCTGGTCGGGATTGTTTCCTATGGCACGGCGACATGCGCCCTGGGTCGGCCTGATGTTTACACAAGAGTCTCAAGCTTTCTGCCATACATTAATAGAGTAATAAGCAGTGAAATACCGTGAAGTTGTAAAACATGCTATTGTGAAAATTAAAGCTTGAAATTAGTATTCAAACACCAGATAGTTACAAATTTAACTAATGGAACTTTAAAAGGAAGAAACACGCGAAACTAAATGGACAAATACATAAATAAATAAATAAACTATGATGCAATAGCGACAATGACAGTGACGATAAGAACAAACAGATAAACATTCAAAACATTCATTCATGACGAACGAGGCGAAAGATGGTCCACCTTTGCTTTAAACTTAGTACAGAACAACTATCTTCTTTGACGCCGGCTCCGAATGGATATTGCTTGCCATGCCTCATTACCACTTATTATGGCGCTGAAGACGGTGCGACCCGCCAGATGCAAACGTCCACTTGGCCAAAAGCCAGCCAGAAATGCCGTTGGTAAATCAATAAATATTACTTGAATAACCATAAGTGTCCGAAGTGTACTCAACGGCTAATTAAAAAATTTTATTCGATATTCGCCACGGGCACCTCTTCACAAATTCCACACTCCATCATTTGGTTTTTTGCTCTTTTTACATTCACAATCGTCAAACCTGAAAATTGCATGTGTTCCTAAAGAAGGGCCTGTGCTGAACAATTGGCAAAACAGTTGGGCTAATTTATTACTTTAGCTAACGGCGACATTTAGCGCGAGTCACTTGCTCGCTGACATCAACGAAAAGGAATAAGAACTGATAGCTCAACCAAACCTAATGCAAATGAAAACAATTTGACTCTGATTTGTCGCAGATTCTATTTGTGTACATGCGCCCCACCGACCTCGAGTCCAAAAGCTTAAGACTATGCCTAATTGCACAAATGGCGTACTGTAAGTATCGCACAAACTCTCACATAGTATAACAGAAAGTCAGTGGCTGTCGGCATTTAGGCTATAGAAAGAAATCTTGCCTTTGTTGGACTTGACTGAAATATTTAATCAAAATTTAATTTTTCGCACAGCAAACCTGAGATGCACTTGCAAGCAAACTCATATTCAGATTGATTTGAGAATGAAATGTTCGCTTTGCTGGGCTGACCCAGCYGCGCTCAACGACATTTATATAGAATACCCATATATTGTTGGGACTTATTGGCTGTGTTCGCGTTGCTCGCGTGAACCCTAGAAAATGATGGAGCTTTGCTTAACCAGCAGTCATATTGTTTATTCGTTAGTAGCCAAGCGTACTTAGTTACTTGGACCTAACTGCTCAGAGTTTCTCTCTCGGCGTCGACTGGAATTGCAGTCAACGCGGTTTACTCATTGCTGCGCGCACATAAATTCATTTAAATCAATCAATTCAATTTGTTTGTCAATAAAATTTAAATGAGTATTTCATTTAAGCAAATTAAAATCGACCCAGTTGAATGCCGAGTTGAGTTTTTGAGATTGAARCTTTGGAGCTTAAAGATCTTCGTCCGATATACCGAAGACTGCAAGCATGCTTGCGTATGCTACCAAATCTATAAAAACGAATTTGACAAAACAGAAGTTTAAACATTATGGTTTTCCAGCAATAAAGTGCAGTGTGTGGGTACGATCTGATTAAGAAATCGGCATATAGTAAATAGCTAATCTCAGTGTTGGGAATTTTACTTTTTACACTATGCAAGATTGTAATACGTTTTTTTAAACCCATGTTGAACAAGACGTATCAATCACTCGTACAAAAACTTTTTCAAAAATGGTCAGCTGATAAATAGACACAAAACCGGATAACACCCAAGTATAAACACGCCACGAAAATTATCGGTGTGTAGAGGAATCAAAAACATAGAGAATTGTTTATTTGTTGATAACTTTAAGTGCGTTTCAGGTGGGAATATTGTCAACGAAAATAAAATAAAATAAAAAGTAGTGGCACGCATACACATACATGCGTGAATGCATATAGATTTAAAGAATAGTCACGTACGTACTTCTTGATAATTGATTTGGCCGGAGGAGTGGTATATGTAGACACAGAGCTTGGCTGGCTTAGTATGCGATAGCAGTTGGAGGAACTTTGTTGGGCCGCTGAAATAGCTGTATGTTTCTCTGCCGTTGGTTTTAGTTTTTAAATTGTGTCCATCACAGTTACCACGGCAATCCATGTTGTTGTCCRTGAAACATTGCGTGCAACTGTATACTGCCAGCGATAAGCAGATAAGCAACATTAGCGAGCAATTTTCAATTAACACGAGAACCTRTGAATCGATAGATACACGTAGCCTCAAGACACTACAGCGGCCGCAGTTTTTTGGCTTGGCCGRCAGCGTCAGTCYGCCACAACAGGTCTCCGATTGGCCTTTACTTGTGTCAGGCAGCCACCACCGAGGTGGCGCTTCGAGCGCCTCTCTAAACAAATTGTGCATCTAATGCCTTCGACGCGCCGCAACGCATCACTGCCAATATGTTCACAGCAGAGTTGTGCATTAGGCCCTCTATCCTATAGAAGTGGCATGCAATAAGACCGTATCGGCAGCTCAAGCAGAGCGTTTAGAATGCACTCAAAGCTAATATTAATCACACACACGGCGATACATGCAATAGCAGAAAAAAAATATCGGCAACTTCGAGCTGGCAACGTTCGACCATTTATCATTTTAACGTTTTTGCGCGTAGTGGCCATAAAATTCGGCGCGATCGCCACAAACATCGARGCTTCAAATAAAATGCTTTTAGGCTATACGCAATTCTCTCTGTAATTTTTATACTCTCATAACATCTTGTTCAGAGTATAATGGTTTTGTTCATTTAATGGGAGTATGTAACAACTGAAACCAAATGAGATTGATATAGAGCTATATATATATATAAATAACAAAATAAACTTCAATAAAAATTGCGATATTTTTAGAAAATTTGGTATAGGTATACGAGTATGACTTTCGGTTTCTGAGGAGATTTTTTAAGTTGCTCTAAATCAACCATCACAAATTACATCGACATCGGAAGAATAATTGCCTTTTTATACCGTATTGTTGAATGCCGCCAAATCGACCTTTCATGTAACGATTACACTCGATGTTGCCTGTTATTGATGTTTGGTTTTTGTTTGGTTGCCCCCGAACTTAATGCTTCCTTCCTTGTTTTATATGAGTTTGCTGTTACTGCCTTTCGGGTGAATACACGTTGGTAAAACGTTGCTGGTAACGGCGACAGTCAGTTGGCAGCATTTCGATAGTCTATGCCAACCGATTTTCTTAGCTTGCGTTGTACTTTTCTATATAATGTCATTGTCGTCATCAAAGTTTGGGTTTGTGTGCGTAATGACGTTGGTAACCTTTCGCATAGTCTAACACCTTTAAGCCGTTGCCACCACACAATTGCCACTTTACGGTGGGCCGATGATTTGTGGCCACCCATGCCTTCGTAAGTACTCTAAACATGTGATATATGGAGGCACGTGGTGCTKTAAGGACTATTCGCGTAAAGCCGCGTTATCTTATGTTTTCAGTGGAAAGTGATTCTGTCTAACAGAAATTTTGAAGCATATTTAATACTCGCTTTGATAAAAGTAGGTAATGCTGTTTAAGTGAAAATATAATATATATACATATACAGCTATATACATATATATATTTATGCCTAAGCTGGAACTGGCAAAGTATGAAAGCAGTAAATGGTCGTGCGGACTCGCGTGCAAGTCTCAATAGGGAATCACAGCTGTTGAAATAAAATACACTGGTCATAGCACATCAACACTCGGCTGCTTCCAATTCAAAGTTTTGTCGACGGATTCAGTAATGAGATAAAGGTAATTTCTCCGTTTTTCGAAGCTAGCTGCACATCCCGAAATATTTGCTTTCTAATTTCGAAATTGAGCTTATTGAAGCCAAGTACTTTAAATATGGGCGCCATCCCGTTTTCCTCTTACTTCATTGATGTATAAAATGTCTTAAATCGAGCTTGAACCACTGGTTTTATCAATATTTATGAATATAGTACAGTTTCATTATTATTCATTTAAATGCGGCAATTGGTATCTGTAAATATTTTATAGATAAGAAGCAAAAGTAATAAAGAATAATTAACCAGAAACATATCGCAATTGCATTATGGCGGAGCTGACAGTGTGTGTGTATGGTACGTTTATAAATGCAATCAAGAGTGCAGGCTGCAAGCAGCGTAAAAATTGAAGAAAAATTCGACTTCAAGAAACTAGCAATATTAAAATGCATATGTGTATGTACACATACAAAATTATTACACTCGGCCAATATTTTCAATGACGCGTGAGTTCAAAATGTCAAAGCATATGGTGTCTACATATGTATGTAAAAGAAGGCTTAGCTCAGCCCCAAGTGCTGTGTCGGCAGACACGTGTGTGTATGCGCTTGCACAAGACGCGAAAAAACAAATGTCAATAGCAAAATGTGCGCCTGCGCATTGATGACGGCCAATGCAATTTTGGGGCAACAGCTAGAGGACGTGGATGCTACTGGCTTTCTTAATACCACTGTTCTTTCGCGGAGGTGCGGTATGGTCCTACGCATCGTTGACCTGGTGCAGTTTAGTACTGATACTACTGCAAAACGCGTAGATTTTATTTTATGATTTGTTGTCTTAGCTAAAGCTACAGCTCATCGGCAAGTCAGAAAATCACGCATTCGCCTCACGTTCCTCAACTATGATCTCCGGCAAAGATAATACTACTTTCCCAAATATCTTTGGCGTTCGCTTCTTTTTCGCATTGGTAACTGCTTACCAGTGGGCTTTTGACTTGCAGCTAGCAGTTGTTTCTCTTTTGGTGTCTTTACGAGAAGTGTTTTTCATTTTCGAGGCCAATTTGGTAAATTTGTGAAGATAGGCAATATGTGTGTATGATGTTGGAAACGGTTTGGATGCAGCTGCGAAAATTGCCACAATTGCAAATGAAATTCTTCGGAGTTTTCCACGGTTCATCCTTTGAGTTTTGTGTAGCAGAACTAATTTTTTAGCCAATTTGAACACCTGTAAGCAATGATTGCTGATTGAAGCACATATTGAAATGTATGATATGCAAATTATACATTTTCG